TGGGGAGACACAGATAGGAGACTACCCCTATGGTGGGGAGACAGACAGGAGACCACCCCCTGGTGGGGAGACAGACAGGAGATCACCCCCGTGGTGGGGAGACACAGATAGTTGACCACCCCCATGGTGGGAAACACAGACAGGAGCAGCCCCTTGTGAGGGGCGTGGTGGAGCCTCAGGAAGCATGCAGGCCTTGCTGAGTCCTGGTGTGGGCTGGGGGAGGGGGCAGCAGGTATGAGCAGGGCTGCACGTCTTTGGTGAATAAAGTTGTGGAGGAGACTGTTCTGCTTCCTGGAGACGTCTCTGGTGGCTGTGTCCTGATTCCTGGAAGAGCTCTTTACCTGGGTTACTGATGGGAAGGTGGGATGGGGCCGACATTGATGCTGTGGGGGGTCCTGGGCCAGGTGGGGAGACAGGCACTCCTTGGCTGTCTCATGCCTGCTCAGCCTGGCCAATGGCACAGTTCCAGGAGAGTGCCGGGCATCCATCCACCCAAGCAGCGTCAGCGTCTTCCAGGGGGCGCACCTGGCCCAGGTGTGTCTCAGGCGAGACGAGCCCACAGTGTCTCCAGGCTCCTGAACATACCTCGCTCGGCATCCTGTGGCCGGCACTGGCTCAGATGCATGTGGGCACCTGCCACCTCATGCCGCTCTAAAAGAAACACCACACAAATGACTTTAAAAACTGTTTTAAGACCGAATTATTTTCTGTAGAAAATTTTTTTATTAGAACCATGTTTTTCAGTAATGGAAGGCATTTTGAGTGGAATGAAAACCTGCTCTTTTGAGGTAATACTGGACGTTGATACAATTAGTGGGATATATGTGTCCCTAGGGGTCTCAGGTGCTGAGGCTGGTAGCCAGAGCCATGTTTCTTCACATTTATGCAGTTACACAGACTCCCACCAGATGGCAGCATGCACTAAAAGTGGGATAGTGTTTACAGGCTAAATCCCAAACCAAAAACCACTGTCTCTACTGGGGAGTCTGTTCCAACTCAAAGCAACCCTACAAAGGGTTTTCAAGATTGTACATTTTCACAGGAGTAGATATCCACATCTTTCTCCCAAGAGACACCTGGTGAATTTGAACCACTCACCTTGCAGTTTACAGTCTAGTGTTTAATCCACTGTGCCACCAGGGCACCTTAGGGGCACGCTTTGGGGAGCTTTTTATCAAGTATTTTATAAACTCGCCTTCTCCACAGCCTGGGGAGCCCTGTGGCGACAGTTCTTCAATGTCACATGGGATTGCTGTGAGTCTGAATTGACTCAACAGTTCCCAACAATTTTCAGAATTGCCAGGCCTTTCTTCCTAGTCTGTCTTAGTTTGAATGCTCCTGATTTTGTTGATACCCCATGTTTATTTGTACTGTTCCTGTGGGTACATGGGGCTGTCATTCCCTCGGCCGATTCCTTGGACCCAACATGGGCATCAGTGATGCCTAACAGGCTTTGCTGCATCCTGAAGAACGATCAGTGCCTCTGTGTAATTGGACAAGGTTTTGCTTGTACAGTCGTCTTTTATGTTGTTTTTAAAGCAGTGTTTGCAATGAACTCATTGGTCTTGCAAAATTCTATCGTGAGATCTCAGCATCATTTCTATCACCAAGATTTTCATTTTCAGCACCATTTCTATCATCATTTCTATCACTATCATTTCTATCAACTACTGATCCTTCCTCTTTATTTACCACCGTTGCAGTCCAGTCACCAGTAATTATCAATACATCTTGATTGTGTGTTGGAGCAATTTCAGACTGAAGAATTTGGTAGAATTCTTCAATTTTATCACTACTGCCTTTCGTTGTTGGTATGTAAATTTGAATAGTAGCGATATTAATTGGTTTTCCTTGTAGGCGTGTGGATATTATTCTATCACAGACAGCATTATACTTAAAGATAGATCTTGAAATGTTCTTTTTGGTGATGAATGTGATGCCATTCCCCTTTAGTTTGTCATTTCCGGTATAGTAAACTAAATGATTGTCAGATTCAGAATGGCTAATACCAGCCCATTTCAGCTCATGAATGCCTAGGACAGAGTCCTGGGGTGGCATTGTGGGTTAATATGCTGGACTGCAAGGTCTGTTTGAACTGCAAGGTCAGTGGTTCAAGCTCACCAACTGCTTCTTGGAAACCCTATACAGGGTCACTATGGATCGAAACTGGCTCTGCAGCACTTAACAACAACAAATGTCTAGGATATTGATCTTTATGCATTCCATTTCATTAATACTTAATACATTTCATGTTCTGATTATTAATGGATGTTTATAGCTGTGTAGGGTTTCCATCCTTAATCTTTTCCCACAGAGTGGCTGGTGCACTCGAACCACTGACCTGGTGGTTCTCAGTCCAGTGCTGACCCTAGAGAGCCACTGCATTCTATGTGTGCAATAGCATTATGAAAAAAGTTTGAAGTGTTGTGAAAATGACCAAAATATGGCAAAGAGACACAAATCACATGCCATTGGAAAAACGGTGCCTATAGAACTTGTAGGTTGGCAGAGTTGCCACCGACCTTCAGTTTGTAAAGGAAGCAGTATCTGCGAGACACCCTAATGTGCAGCCCAATAAGGCAAGGTGTGCCCGTGTTCATGTAAATCATAATGGAGACGGTGACAAGCAACAGCATCTGTCCACAGACATATGAAGAGTCCCTCCCAGCCTGACCTTGGGCATCTCTAGGGCTGACCCAGGAATCTGCATTTCAGCAAGGATGCTGTCCCAGTGGTATTAAAGGTATTAAATGGTATAAAAGCTACATGGGAGAGGACTGAAAGTTGAGGTGCTTTATGGAATTTGTAGAACTATTTTTGTTGTTTAAACTACACACAGTCGAACATACACCAATTCAGCAGTTCTTACATGAACGATTCCGTCACAGAGATAACATGCCTCGGGTTTTCCCACCGTTACCACCCTCCTGTTCCAAATTGCTCCTCCTCTTTTACACATGAGGGGTCCTGCAGGTGCTGTGGGTAAGCATCTAGGTGTGCTGACAGGAAGGTCAGAGGTTCAAAACCACCAGCTTCTCCGTGGGAGGAAGATGGGGCAGTTTGCGTCCATGCAGGGTTGGTTGGTGCTGTTGAGTCAGCGTTGTTGTTGTTAGGTGCCATCGAGTCGGTACCGACCCATAGTGACCTTATGCACAGCAGAACGAAACACTGTCCGACCTGGCCATCGTCACACTCATTGCTGTGTGTGAGCTCATTGTCGCAGCCTCTGCCCTCATTAAGGGGTGTCCTCTTTTTGGCTGACCCTCTACTTTACCAAGCATGATGTTCTTCCTCAGGGACTGGCCCCTCCTGATGGTATATCCAAAGTACGTGAGACAAAGTCCCACCATCCTGGCTTCCAAGGAGCATTCGGACTGTACTTCTTTCAAGAGAGGTGGTTCTTTTGGAAATCAATGATGCAGTCAATATTCTTCCACACCTCTATAATTCAGATGAGGGATTCCTCTGTCGTCTGCGGTCAAATGAAAACGCCCTATCTTGGGTCAGGCTCACCCTAGTTCTCAAAGTGACTTCTTTGTGTTGAACACCTGAAAGAGGTTTTTGGAAGCAGATACGTCGTATGATCTCTTGAGTGCTTATTCCATGGGCGTTGATTGTGCAGCAAGTAAAATGAAATCTGTAACAGCTTCCGTCTTGTCTCTGTGTATCACGGTGATGTTTATTGATCCAGTTTTGAGGAATTTTGTTTTGTGGTGAGGTATGATCCATGTTGAAGGCTGTTAATGAGTCTTTCTGCAACCCTTATGCCCTGTTCTTCAGATAGTCAAACTTCTTGGGTAATTTGCTCAGTGTTCAGATTGAATCAGTATGTTGAAAGGATTCACACCTGAAACACACATTTGCTGGTTTTAAACCACACGTCATCCCCTTGTCGTGTTCAAATGACTTCTCCTTGGTGCATGCGTAGGTTGTGCAGGAACACACTTAAGTGTTCTGGGATTTTTTTTCCTCTTCTTTCTTCTTCTGGTTGAGCTCTGATCATCCAGTCATTGAAGCCAGGTCAAATGGGTATTATCTTCAAGTGTGGGTGTTCTTGTGCATATGTCCTCTCTTCTTATCAGCTGGATGCTTCATTCTCCACTCTAGTCCTCTGTGGCTATGTCCCTGACTCTAGGACCAAGATTCCCCAGGTCTTGCCACACTGCTGGCCAACCAGGTCTCCAACCAGGTTCACAGGAGTCTGTTGAATGTGGTAGGGCTTAGTTTGCAGCTTCATTGCTGTTTTTCCCTCAGTTCTCCTTATCGGTGACCAAC